AAAGCCAACTAACGAGACACCACCGCCACGGTAGGGAGAATGCTAAATAGATGCTAGATTTCTCCCTGTCTCCTCCATTTTCACTTCTCCCGTGTTCCTTTGTAGGGCACCATCTTCGCTTCCTTTTCTCGTTCTTTATCTCCGTCTTTTTCTTACTTACACGTTTTCCCCCCACCGTACCGTCGTCCCTACTCCGTCGAACTTATGTTCCGATGAAATAACTCGTCCCCACCACCACGATCGAGCGTACGAGGGCGAACGGAAACGACCGAACGAATCCGAACGCCGTTTACATTGTCGTCGCATACATGCACTCTAGCTGCGCGCATGCTGTGTTGAACATGTCGTTTTCTTTGGTTGTGCACGTATCGCATCCTCCTCATAGCGTTACCTACGTGTGGAACCTAGAGCGTCGATTGTATAATCGTGGTAGAAGAAAAAGAAGAAGGGGGGAAAAAAGGGAAGAAACTGAAGGAAGTATGAGGAACGATGATATCGAAACGAAAGACCCTCGGGTTCTTCCTTGTCCACTTTCTTTCGCATAGTCTCGAGACACTTTTTTCATCGTGCCTCCTTCCTTTCTCGTTCTGTTCCATCACAGTGGTCTGCTTAAAATTGACTGTACTTTTGTATCATTTTAGACAAAAATGTGAAAAGATGCTTGGAAGAAAAGTTGGCGGAGTAAGATTTTTCACGGTGCCGTGATCGTTTACTTCTCACCAATTCGAAATACATTTTTCAGTCTGGCAGACATTGATTGAGTACATCTGAGGAAAGTAATACCGGTGGAATTGACTATTGCATGAAATCGAGAAGTTTTCAGGATAACTTGACAGTTCTTCGTTGTCTTTCTGCATTTACTTTTGTAATTAGTAAATGCACAATTGGAAACCATTTTTACATCCAATGTCATGCAAAACAGGGTGGTAATTCGTAATTTTCATAAATCCTATATATTTCGTTTGCGATCGTTCGATAATTAATATAACGTAATATAAATAGCAATTTTGTAAATTAGTGAAAATTAATTAAAGTTAAAGTATCGTCAATGGCGATTTGTTAGTATACCACTAACACCTACACAAAACAGCCTAATTAAGTCAAATATAAAATTAATCCAGAAAAAACGTAATCTAAAGAACACTATTTCAAAAGAAATGAACGAACAGGAGGAAGAGAGGATAAAAAAAAATAAAATAAGAAAGGAGGAGAAAGGTTAGAATAGCGCGTTACTCGTTCAGAACGACAAACAAAGGTAAGGATGACTGGACGAATTTGTGAAGTGTTGCTCCAATCAGATCCCATGTCACTCGGTTCATTAATCCATTCAGAGCGTACTTTGAGAAGTTCCACATTGTATTACAGAGTTGTACCAGTCCCGAAAGTAAAACGACGTGAATGCATACATATGTAATGGCGTTTGGAACGCGAGGAATCTCTATCGTGACGAAATTCGATAAAATTGTAATTGTATCGCATAGATTTATCTTTTAAAACGATTGATTCAAGCTGAATCCAGTCTTGCTTCGCTTTAAAACCGGATATACAGAATGAGTCAATAAGAACTACCACCTGAAATAATTCGTTATTTATTGATTTTATCAAAAGCTCGTCGAATGGAGGCATTTTAATTTTTTTATTCCTTACATTTTATGAGATATCGAAGTGACCTTCAATTTTTCAGATAGAATGCTATATATTCTTTATATGACATCCATTTTCACTTAACTGACATGAAAATCTTTAAACGCGTTTTTCTCGAATCCATATTTTATGAACTGACCGACATAATATCTCAAGTTCTAGTTGACTGATTGACTCGAAATTTTTCATGCACGTTCAGTAGATGTGCCGTTATCGCAAGAACCAGGAAAACCAAAAAAATTCCTATTTTTCCTCAATTTTATAACCCACAAAACAGGAAAAATGAAGGAAAAAATCGATATTCACACTTCAAAGTGCCCCCATTTTGTTAACTTACAATATTTTTCTTTTATCTTGGCTCACACTATACCCACATTCATACTAATCAAGAATCTTTATCGCTTTTTCGTTTCGGATAAGTAGATCGGCCGGAATCATGTCAACCAGTAGAGACAGTACTGAATAACTTTCAATTCGGTTAATTTTGATTTTCATTTTAAAAAAATAGTGAAAATTCTTCAAATATAAATAACTGTATGTACAAAAAAAAAACGATAGTAAAAAGTCTTATATCGATATAAAAATCGATAGTAAAAACTAACCTTCATTCTTCAATGAACAAACGACTTTCGGTGTCGTGTGAGACACCCTCCGTATAGTGTAGATGTCGACAGTATGCACAAAACTTCTCACTTGTAAATAAGGAAAAAAAAATAGAATAGAATACACCGTCTACAGTTCTTCAATGGCAAGTACCAGATTCATACAAGGAAATAAAGATACGAGATACATCTCGCGTTGATGTCGTTAGGTGTGTTCCTGTAATGCTAGCTTTACCTTCGATTATTTGCATGCCCGGTATCGGTAGAAGGAAGAGGGACAGATCACAGATAACAGCGCAGAAAAAGAGAAAGGAATAGGTGTATCGAAAGCTTCGCAGCAATCCAGCAAAGAGCAGCACGGCTGAAACGGGGATTTGCAAACAATAGGCCCGAAAGCGGGGTGAATTCTTTAGATGGCGGCGCGATACGCATCGCATTTACATATTATTGCTATTATTAGGTAAACGGTCCTCCGAGCGCCTCTTTAACACTACGCGCTCGCCCTTCGAGGTATTTTACGAGCAACCGCGAGAGGCCCCCACCGATAAAAACCGAGGCCGTAGTCAAGTTAACCAGCGCTGTTTGTCGGCGGGCAAAAATTGAACCACTATCCGAACCGAATTGGTGGCTTAAATTGGAAATAATCGTTTGAACCGCTGGAAAAGGACCCTTAAGGCTGTCACCCACTTAACAGGAACAGCAACGTTCAATTGTCCACACATCGATGCGAACCAGCTCTGTTAATATTGCGTCATCCATCACGGTACAAGTTACTCACAAACCACATGAGATTTTACATAAAAAAAAATCATCTTGCTCACGGCTGTGTCATAATACTAGCACTATCCATACGGTAGAACTTTAATACATTGCAAACACTTAAAATTGAAAGTTGTCCCGTAACTACCGGTTTTTATTCTAAAATTTGTTTATTGATATAATCAACATATGTATCGCACGTTTCCGACTCACATAACGCAGATCGTTCGTTTTCCCGTTCCAATAGAAAAATATGTCACCGTCGGTAGAAACGTTAATTAACGACACTGTATCATCGAGACAAGTAACGGTTCGATTCAAAATTAACGGAACGCTCGAGAGATCGCGCAGAATCGGCTTTTTAAAGCTGGCAACGCTGTAGCAGCGCGCGCATCGGACTTCTCTAGACTGCGTGACGCCAGGGTCGAAATTAAAGACGCAGCTTCAGAAGGTAAGGGGCTCTCGACGAAGTCGTGGAAGGCAAAAAGGCCGAAGGGATCGGAACCGCTTGATAAAACAAGACGACGTTCGAACCACCGATAGGCCCCGAACGATTCTCCAAGGGGAGAAACATTGGGTCGCGCAGGAAGGGGGTTAAACGAGTACGTACACACAATGGGGTTCAAGAAGAGGAGCCGAGAGCAAAAGCGGTGAATTAATTGTCGCTCGCGCCACCGATGAAACCGCTACGATCTGCAAGCCTGATTTGTGTGCCGCACGCGTGTATATCGTATGTGTATCTTACCCGTCCCCCCCTACCCCCAACCCTTCTCCTTCATGTGCGCCTCTCTTCCCTTTCCATTTCTTTCATTTTTCTCCGCTTCGGTCGTCTCTGGCGTACAACAAGCAGACCCATGTACAGATTATACGCGACCATTGGTAGTGGAGACTGACAATGGAAACAAGCCCAAAGGTACGTCAGAGTAAACAGACCGCTGCAAGAGAGACAGAGAAGCGGGAAACCAAAGCGAGACGGTGTGAGCAGGAAAAGACGAATGGAAGGGAAGAAACGAGTCGAAAGAGAGAGAGAAGAAGAATCGTGAACAGTCTATAGAAAGAACAAGGAAGAAAGTAGAGAAACAGAAAGATGCTACGAAAAATGCGGCAACCTGGTCTCCGTGTTCCTTCCCCTGCTCTTCATTCTCTTCTTCTACACCTCCTTCTGATCCCTATATCTTCCACCTCCTTCTATTCTCCTTTTCCATCTTCTTCTTTCGCTTCGTACGTTTCTTTTTTTATTTTTATTTATTATTCAATAGAGACCAGGAGGTACTCGTTAATTGATGGCACTGGCTATGGTCGAGCAGTGAAAGCCGGAGAGAGGGATCTAAGGTGGATCCACGAAGAAGGGGATCACAGGATCACCGTCGCTTCTTTTTTTTTTTTTTGTTTTTTATAACGCCAAGGGTAACTGAATTCACGATCAAAATTCTGCGTTCAAAAATTGACCCACCCTCGGCGTACGATACACTGGATCCAACCCTTGTTCGATTTTAAACGAACGTAAAGTTCATTGCAGAATATACAGGCTTAATTAACCGTCCGTAGGTAAATTGGATAGTAGTTAATGTCCAAGTCTAATTTCTTTATTGTTTTAAACTTTCAAAAAATCTGAAAAAATTCTGATGTACTTATCAAAGTCTCTACTGCACTATACAATTGTTCGTTAAGTGAAATGTTCAAAATTTTTTCAGATTGCCTACGGAGGGTTAAGATCCTCCTCTGAGGATGTTCTTGTTTTGTGACCACATATCACAGCTTTTATCACAGAATAATAGTGATATCCGATTTTACCCTACTTTCTCTTACATTGCTTAATCCTATAATTCCTTGACACCTGTTATCATATCTATTTTTTTGCACCATGTAAATTCAATTTTCGTAGGTAAAGAAAAGAAATTGTAACGTGTCCTATAAAATGTAATTATCGTAAAATAAAAGGAATCTGCACGTTGCAAGTGTGCGAATCTCAGTGAAATGGTATAATTGTTACAGGCTGCTTGGCCGTGGTTCTATGCACGTCTTTTCCTGCGAACAGTTTCAAAAGCTGATGGACGCGAGCGGTTTTTCAGGGCCGTGGCGTTCCTTGATAGATTTAGGAGCAGGAGATGGCGCCACCACCGCTCATATAGCCCACCTGTTTGAAAAAGTTTATGCTACAGACATATCAGCACCGATGAGATGGGCCTTGGCAAAAAGGAAATTCACGTAAGTCACGTTTAATCTTTCGTTCAATTTGCATCCCCCAGGGTGAAAGCAGAAGGGTATCAAATTAAAAGGTGTTAACCTGTAACTCTTTAACAGAAATTTTTCTCTTAGATTCAAATTCTTTTGATAGAAATTTTTCCAATTTTTTATACTTTTACTTATTACGCACTACGTTCTCAATGTGAAAACAAAAATGAAATCATTAAAATAAACGTACAATGTACGATAGAATTTTCGTCCTTTTTTACGAACATCTTTTTTAAACGTTCCGATAAACGAGCTAAATTTTGATAATTCAAACATTTGCAACTATTTCGTAAAAATATGATAAAATGTAACGTTCAAAGTTTAACTGTTCACGATTCTTAGTGTATCGATAAAAAATTTATAATAAGTCACAGAAGTTTATCTTAACTCGAAAAATCACTGATCTCCGTTCTATTCGGGCAAACATATTCTGCATAATAAAATAAAGCAGTACTTCGCGTGTACGCGAAATCATTTCTGTAACGTGGAACATACAAATCTTACGATGAGTTTTCGCAATCCACATATGTAGATAGGGGAGCATCTCTCGCGTATCGTTCACATTTGAACAAACACATGTACTTCCCGTAAAGAAGATCAATTCTCAAAGTTTCTCGTGATTTTTCTTTTTAAATGAAACACGTGCTCGCTTAATTCAACGTTTAACCGAGAGAGTTGAAGAACGTCTAACGACGCAACGTATTGTCGATGATAGTCGACCAAGTTTACGTAGTACGTAGAAACTTTACGGTGGTTTTACATCCAGCCTATCTCGCGTCGATACGGTTGTATTTGAGACAGTTCTAATTTTAAATAAGTGCCCGTAGAGTGCGATGTACCTGTAACGCTTTATAGAAATCTATTTGCTCTTTTCCAGACGAGTTTAGAACCCTCTCCGTTGAACTTAGGCGCGAACGAAGACACTCACGGAGAAAATAGCAAAAGAAGTACGTGTTAACTCCAAGCTATGATAGTAATTAGATGAAAAATGTCGTCGTAGACTAGACTCTATAGAGCAACTTTGATTTTGATGCGTAAAAGAGTGTCCAGGGTGTGGCATAATATGAGACGTATGATACTTTTTTTTTTCAAGTATTGGGAATTCGATAGATATATTTCCGTGTTTATACAATATTAGAGAATTAATGGGTAACGGTTTAATAGGTTTTGAAAAATTAAAGTGACAAAATTGAAATGACATTTCTTCTTGTTTGTCGCTGGTCTGTTTAAAAATATATACTTGCCATAAATAGCGGGAATTTTGAAACAGTCTTGCAGAAATAATAATAAGTTAATTGATAACATTTAAATGCTGAGCAAAAACGTCTCTGCCGAAAATTAAATTTGGGCATATAAAAAAATTACTTTTCAAATAATCTTAATCGACAAGAATCACATTTATATGAAAAAAGGAGAATAAAATAAATACGAAACGTGTAAAAAAAAAACAACAACATTTTTATACTAACAAGAATAATAGACGATAAAAACGAAACATTGTATAGAAGAATTAATATAAATTTATTAACTCTGCATTTCTAATATTTGAATTATTCAAACAAAAAAGAAATCTAATATGCAAGTTTTCCATTGTTTTACAATAAATATACGTTCTAGAATAAAAACAAAATTATTGAAATAAAAATAACGCGTGGTTACCTAGAATTTATACAAATATATTGTAGAACAGATTACCGAAAATTTAAATGCAACTTTAACTTATTCCCGCAAAATCTACTTTTCACTTTTGACCGAACGACTAAAGATATTACTAAAAGATATTTAGTAATGTGTTGTATACTTGAATTAGAACAGGATATTATCATCATCTTTTTCAAGCATCAGACAACAATATATGTACATATATGACAATATATGAAATACTTGTTCGAAAAGGTAAAGAAACAGAGAAGAAATGTATTTATTATTTTTCAGGGTGCTCGACGTAGAGAAATGGTACGAAAACGGGCCGTTCAATGTAATCCTCTGTTTGAACTTGTTGGACCGATGTGATCGACCAAATACTCTACTTCGACGGTTGAAGTCGTCTTTAGCATCAGGTGGCCGTCTAGTCGTAGCACTAGTGCTTCCATTCAGCCCTTACGTAGAGGTCGGCGAAAGAGGTGACCACAAACCGTCGGAGTATCTGCCGGTAAAAGGAAACGGACTAGAAGGTCAAATTGCCAGCCTTGTCGATAGAGTTTTCGCACCGTTGAGCCTAAGATGTCTCGTATGGAGTAAACTGCCTTACCTTTGCGAAGGGGATCTGGGCCAAGCGTATTACTTTCTCGACGACGTGGTGTTCGTTTTAGAGGCACAGCCCGTTAGTACTCAATCCTGTGAATTTTCAATAAGAAACGTATCTAAAGTCTCATACACTAGAAACTTTTAGGATAACTCTCAATACTTTGCATCCGAGTGGACGAATGCAGAGCCATCTGGGCATAAACGCGGCGATGTGCTCGAACAGCAGGCTGGTCACGAACGGAAATGTTACACAGGCAAGTCACACTTGTAAAAACTTTAATGATTGCTGTTCATCAGTTAGAATTATGCAAGAATACAGAAGAGCAATACTGGCAAGCGACAACGAGCTTAATGTGCAAATACAGCTGTAGCATTGGTGTATTATAATTCATCATCGTGATCGATTGTTCATTTATAATTAATTAATAAATGAACAACGATAGTGCGCATCTTACAACGATCTTACTGTCAAAGTCAGAAGGTGCAGAAAACTTGTACACGGTTCCTATTGATATTAAATATGGCGCGAGAGCGATAAAACTGGTAAACTGGATTCCGAACAAACAGTTCACACGGCCGCGACCCAAACTCGCACACACTTAAAACGTTTAATTTGTCTCAAGACTCAGCTTTTTGTACCTTTTATCATCAGACTTAGTTTCCGTGCTCCCTCTTCCTTTTTTTCTTTTTTATTTGGCATATACGTAACGACTTAATCATGGATATGCTTAGTAAACGTCGACGCTTCCGACAGTAAGACAAACGGGCGATACGTTTGTGTTACGTTTCGCAATAACTACTTGAAGAAATAAGTCCATTTAGTTGTTGTTGCAAATATACTTTGGTGTGTAACAGGTAAATCGTCGAAAATTACTTAAATGATATTGCAGCAGCCTTATTTTAATATTATATTGATTAACAAAAAACATGAGATATACAGGACGTAAATTTCGGTGATATTTCAGATTGCATGCGTCGCACAATTTATAACATTCTGTGTGCCAAATTTGGATAATTCATAACAGAAAACACGGTCTATTCCTGCTTTGTGTGCTAATCTCAAGCATAGTCAGATCATCAGAAGCCATAAAATCGATTTGCGTCTAACGATGTTGTCAACATACTGCAAAGTTTAGTTTGACTGTAAGTTTTACTAAACTTCATTATCAGATTGCAGTTTTCCGATTCATGTTACCATTTTAATATTCCATATATAGGAATAATGAACAAAAATGAGTTTGAAATACAGAGAAGAAAATATAAAATAAAATAAAGGTAAATAATTTAACATTTTACCTTTTCATGTTATCCTTATGCTGCTATGTATCTACACACATAACAGGTACATAAAATGAGATATACCAAATCAAATTGTTTGATAATTTTCATAAAAACTATGGAAATAAAATATATCTGTCACTACACAGCTTATGTGTGTAGTGATCCTTGCAGTCCCAAAGTCTGTACATGCAGCAAACCATTGAAACATAATTTAAAGAAATTATAAGTAACCTGAAAATGTCCAACATACATTATATTTCTTTTAGAAATCTAGGGACGTCCCGAATTTACTTCATATTCAAAGTACTCTCCAAATGACCAAATTAGCCAATAACTGTATCTACCAGAAATTGCTTTTTGTGGAATATCACACTTTTATTTGCTTATGTAATAATCGGTATTTATGTAATATCCATGAATTGTAATGAGCATATAATAAATGAATGTACTAATTGTCCATTGAAATAACTTGTAAAAGAAATGAAATTTAAGTTACTTAAGTAACTACTTTTCCATTAATAATAACAAATTTTATCATATTATGTATCTTTAATACTATATCATACAGTAGACAACATTCTCTTAATAAACCCAAAAAATAATGAATATATTTGAAAGGAATTAAATTATCTTATCCTGTATAATAGAAAATACTCAAATTTGTAGGGATGAATTAAAATAAAATGATTTTTTTCCACTAAATAGTATACGCACAGGTGTAAACTGTGACATCACAGAAATCTGAGTCCTGCTAACAATCGATCGACATATTTCCTGCAGACATTATAAATAAATGTACATGCGTTTTATAACAGACACATTTATAGAAAGATATCTAAACAGAATTACACATTCGCACACTTTCATATAAAATTTTGCTATTTGATAGCCGAAACTTTACATTCATCGAACCTGCGTACAAACAAGATTCACACATTTATCCATTTCCCACACATTCAATACACAAATTTATTGTTTATATTCAGAAACATATAGTTCATATTTTGATATTATCGAGCAAGAAGGAAACATTTTACCATCGCAGATATGCGTATAACAATTCAGTTTAAAACTTTACTTCTACAACCAAAATAAAATGCATTTCATCGAAGGACTTCGATTGAGATAACGCATAATATTTTTTCTTCTTTTTCTCGATTTATCACGCACATCGCGGTACGCAGAGGTAATACCGTTTGTAAGTAATATCAGTGCACAGGGAGAAAATTTTGAGCATCAGTGCGAATCACGCTTCGAAAATTTTCTAACAATGTAACTTTCTTTTCATTTTTTTATTTGTATATAGAAACACAAAATGATTCATTTTTCAAAAAATATCTATGAATTGACCAATGATTTTTTTTACGTGCACACCGCATCTTACTGCCCATGGAGCTTATAAATTATTGTAAGTTTTAACATCAACTTGTCAGACAATAATACTAGACATAACAACAGTATATGTTTGATCTACTTCTATAAATAAACAATAATTTACAGAATACAATTTTTAAGAAAAAATATATAGACAAATTGAATATTTATTTTAACTAAAGAACTTTGTCATGATTTCAATCGTTTAAATCAAAACAATATTCCATAATCATACAATAAATATTCAAAAGCACATTTAAATATTAAATAATACTTAGAGTATTTATAACAATATCTGCTTATCAAATCTTTAGTCTTTATACTTTGTTTCAATTTTCAATGCATATATAAGATTTACTTATATAAAACAAAGAATCTTTATAATGTAATGTTAATTAGGCAATCAATGAACACAAATGGTGAGCTATTAAATCAATGTACAACAATAAAGGGTAAATGCTGTTTCATAACACATATTCACAATATACATATGTATATACTTTATGACGGGATAGACGATTCAAAATTATCTTACTCTCCATAGCTAAGTAAGCTCCATAGGCAGATCATAAAAATTTGAAGAAAACTTACCAACAAAATAAAGCTAATTTGAATTTGAAATAACGGTGTGAGTTTCGATTGACTATATATAAATTTTTTTCACTACCCACGTTTATCACAGTCCACGCATGACTCGTTTTGTCTCTTAGTATTTTGAAGTCCTAAACGCCAACAACATTTGAGCAATCCTTCGGGTTGTCTAAATACAAAACACCCATCTAACCCATAAACACCACATGACTAGAACATCATAGAGCGCAAAGACGAAACTTGGTCTGACGCTTAAAAAGCGAAGACATTGTTTAGTCTAGCTTGCGTTGTTCGCATAACTCTTCTAAACCTCCAGTCTTTCTGCATAAAAATTATAACTCTTTATTTGATATCTCTAGTCATGTAACGAGGGTATACTTAAAATATAAACCATAAGAGATACTTACAATGATGGGAGATAAGTAGTACCCGTATGATCTAATCGATGTTTATCTTCATTTTTCCAGCTTGAAACAGGAATATGCGGAGGTGGCAAGAAACTTCTGAGTGACTGTACAAGTTGTATCGTGTCCACCAGTGCTGTAATAATAAAATGAACACAAAATATATATATGAAAAATATAATAATAAAAGCAGCATTTAATGTTTAATAATCTCACACATCAATATAATATTGTGCAAAATGTAGTTAGCTTATAACAAAAATTTATATGTAAACATAATGGAAATACAATATTAAAAGATAGACCATGATAAACTATATATTTCATTACTTTTTTGCAAAGCTTCAGATTGTTTTCCATATGGTTTGCACATTGCAGGACGTACACAAGCTTTCATTCTTGCCATATTCTTCATGACTTCTGCAAAAGCCCTCACTATTTTCTCTTGTCCACCTACAAAATAAGAAAGGTAAATCATTATTCGAGATATGTCTCGTAAAATTAACATACGAAATATCTCATTAGTTTTTTAAGTGTGTAAAAATATGCTTGATTCTAAAGGGTGGTACAAAATATAGTAAAAATCTAATTCAAATTCACAAGTTTGATACCCAGTCAAATTTGATATTAAGGTCATGTAAAATGATACTTATACTTTTTTAATACAAATGACAGTGTTGATATAGCATAATAATATGATATACAGTTTTCATATGAAATTTGGAAAAATATAGCTTATTAATTACATATTAAATGATTAATGATATAGTTATTACTTAAAAAAATCTATAAAAAATTATCCTTATGCACAAAGAAATGCAAATAATTTTGAAATACCAAAGGTAGTGACTTGAAAAATGAATGATTGTCACATTATTTTATGGTTCACCTTAACATAAATTTACTTTTATAACTTAAGTGCTATATAATCTACTAACCCTCTGAATTTGAAGATGATCGAGATCCTTTTTCATTTTCCAATGGCCAAGCTCCATTATGTAAAGCTAATAAATCCTTATTTGCATTGCCTATTCCTTGTAGGTTTCCTAAACCAAGTCCGCCGAGATTGTCCAAATTATCCAAATTTGTTCTTAAGAAGTCTGTTAATTTATGATCAGACATTGAAATATTAGATACTAAGGATTCATAATGCTGCTTCCCAGTGGCTACTTTTTTTTCTTGTGACACAGGTCGATGTGGAATATTCAATGATGGACGGCTTGGCGGACGTTGAAGATTCATCTGGTTCCCAGCACCTCTTATCTCTGCCAAATCTGTTGTAGATCCTCCTCCCATGTGAGTATTTGGATTAGCACTACTTAAAGTCTGTAACATAGAAACAAAGTATGATTGATTTCTATAAATATAAAGATAAATGTATATATATAAAACTCTGATGCTTACTGCTTGAAAATCAGAATTATGAGGAAAACTACTACGTAAAATAGAAGCTGTAGTATCATTATCTTGAATATAAGTTGGTGCCATATGTCCCATTTTTTGAGTTAATTCAAGTTGATTTTTGTAATAACGGCAAGCAGGATTTGGACAGTTTTGGACCACTTCTATTATAAATTCTTTTTCCATACCAAAACATTCTCGCCCAATAGTGTATGATTCCATCACAGCTCTAACTGTGCCTTCTAAGCCCAAATGTAGACCATGAGGGCCATTCATATGCTTTAACATCACAGCATTTGCAAAATGTTCATAGGGCAATATTATTTTTCCATTTTCTCTAAGAACCAGTCTTCCCTGAGAGTCCAAAGCTATTCTTGATGCCATCATCCTATTTATACATTATAAACTATGTAATAAAGGTATTATAGGTTTTACATAAAGAATTATGCTTCATAAAAACTTTCAAATATATGTATATATATATCATGGATTCTTACTGCAAGTAAGCAGCACTTGGGATCATTGATGCATCTTTGAATTCTGAAAAACATTGCAGGAGCTCGATGCTTGGATTCCAACCTTTGTTTTGAAGATAGGCTTGTAATAACATATACATTTTTTCAGTAACATAACCAGCACTACTTGGTGTACCAGGGTAACCAGATCCTCCACCTGGTGGACCCATTTCTGTTTGCATACCTTTGGCAACAATGTTTTTCATAGTTTCTGCCAAGTCCATTCTGTACAAATAAAACCATCTAATTTAAGAAATCTTAAAAAAAATTGTAACTTCCACAACTAAAAAACTAGGAGGCATGTCCTCAATGTAAGAGTAGATTAAAATAAATTTCTAAACTTAATAAATGTAATTTTACAATAACAATTTTCGTAGGAGGTAACATAATTTTAATGGAAATAACGTCGTTAATCTTAATCTGATGAATTTTGCAAATTAATTTACAAAACTGTATATTTTGAATTATTAATTTGTACAAAACTAATATTCAAAAAATTAAGATGTACAGTAGTCGTACCGATGGTAATTGACACATGTAATAAAAAAGGGTCAGGAAAATGTGTGTAGGTTGCCAGGGTAGCAAGCTTGGCATTTTAAAAATCCATGCATATTCCATGCCTCCGGCCATTGTTATTTTCAGGATGAAGACGTCTAAAGAAACGATAAAAAAACACTGATGCGAGCCACCGCCCCCCTTTAAAAGCGGGGGGAATGAACGTTTTGGACACTCACCCCGTACCGAGCACGACTTTCACTCACTCGAAGTGTAACCGGGAACACTATAGGACCCGTTTATCACCCTAATCGCCGCTACCTGGCATACCCTCATTAATGATTCTCTTCACATTTGCAAATAACATAAATCGCGATAATTATTTCCGCAAGGATTGTTTGCACGGCTGGCCGCCAGAGGCGCATTGCCTTCACGATTTTTAGCGTATCCACGAATGTATACACCTACGGCATTCCAGCGCTTATGCGACGCCACTTTGCGCATTTATCAATATTACTTTTTGCAATTGTTATCACCCCCAGCAGTCTTCGAATGTTTCGCATTGAATCAATCGAAACGCGCGTAACACGATTTTGATTTGTCCAGACTTATATTAT